ATATATATATATATATATATATATATATATATATATATATATGCAGACAGATAAAAATATATATATATATATATATATATATATGTTTTTTTTTAAATGTACTGTTTGCTCTTGGAGTTAATTTAGTTTCTTGTTTTAACACGATGTTGCTGTTATTCTAAACACATCTTGTGTTTTATCTCCTGCCATCCTGTCGCTGTGTCCTCGTGGCCCTCCTCAGTCCCTGCCGTGCATGAGCAGTGGGCGCGTGGCTCTGTGCGCCGGCTGCGGCAGGAAGATCTCGGACCGGTACTACCTGCTGGCCGTGGACAAGCAGTGGCACATGCGCTGCCTGAAGTGTTGCGAGTGCAAGCTGAACCTGGAGTCCGAGCTCACGTGCTTCAGCAAGGACGGCAGCATCTACTGCAAGGAGGACTACTACAGGTAGGAGGACAGGGACTGTGGAGGACAGGGACTGGAGGACAGGGACTGTGGAGGACAGGGACTGGAGGACAGGGACTGTGGAGGACAGGGACTGTGGAGGACAGGGACTGTGGAGGACAGGGACAGATCAGCATCTCCTCTGAAGCTAAATGTCTGCTTAGAGGAAACACAGTCAGACTGAAGAGCTACTGAGATGATAATAATAGTAATTTTAATAATAATAATAATATTAATAATAATAATAATGTTGAAATAGTGTGATGTAATATATGATGTCAAAGTCATACCTAGAGAAAAACTCACTATGATTTTTAAAACTGCTGTTTTCAGGGATAACACAAGTTATAATGATTAGTGCAATAAAAAGTATTTATATTTAGTTTGAACCTTGATGGGGGTTTACCTCTGCTGAAGTTGACCTGTATAAGCCCCCCCCCCCCCACACACACACACACACTGTGCAGTAACTGTTACCCCCCTCCCCCTCCCCCGCCCCCCGCTCCGTGTTGTCCGCAGAAGATTTTCGGTGCAAAGGTGCGCGCGGTGCCACCTGGGGATCTCGGCCTCAGAGATGGTGATGCGGGCTCGGGACCTGGTCTACCACCTGAACTGCTTCACGTGCACGACATGCAGCAAGATGCTGACCACCGGGGACCACTTCGGCATGAAGGACAGCCTGGTGTACTGCCGCCTGCACTTTGAGACTCTCCTGCAGGGAGAATATCAGACACACTTTAACCACCACGCGGACGTGGTCCCGCACAAAGGCCTGGGTCCGGCCAACGCGCTCGGACTATCGTACTTCAACGGCGTGGGGACGGTGCAGAAGGGCCGGCCCAGGAAGAGGAAGAGCCCGGGGCCCGGGGCCGAGCTGGCGGCCTACAATGCGGGTAAGGAGACTTTAATTTGTTTTACTCTGAAACAAAATGTGATGTGACGTCAGAGTTCAGCAGAATAAACTCACAGCTGATGATTAAAAATAGAAAAGTCATTTAAACAGTTTGGACTTTTCTCCTGATGCTGCTCAATAATCCAGGTGTAAAAAAGTGAAGTCAGGTCCTGAGGGCTGGAAGACGAAACGCTTCCACAGTATTTAGTTTTCTGACCCGTCCAGATGAGCTCACTCCACTTTTCCAGAGTTCAGACTAAAAGTTTCAGCAGCGTCTTTTTAACCCTTTGGCTCCTGTCCTGCAGTGTACCGACTTTAAAAAGACACTAAATGAATTAGTTTGACTTAAATCAGATGTTTGATCTTATTTTTATCTTTATTTGTGTTCAGAGCAGGACACGAGGTGACTGCAGGAACACAAGTCTTGAACCGGACCGAACTGAGAAAAGTGCAAATAAAAAAATGCAGAAAGTCAACGACGAGCTCATGCAACACGTTTGGATTATTGTTCGACCAAACTTTCAACGTGTGAAATGATTCAAAAAAACGTTCAACACAAAAACAACTGGACTTTATTTGTAACAGAAGACGTTTCGCTCCTCGGATGTTACAAATAAAGTCCAGCTGTTTTTGTGTTGAATGTTTTTTTCATTGCTCATGTCCTGGATGACTGAGAATCTTCAGCAGCACATGGTGAAATGATCCAGTAATCGTGTTCAACTCTCTGGATGTGTTGTTTTGTCCTTTTCTTGCTCCCATGTCGTCTTTTGAGGAATGAAAAGTTTTTCCTTTTTTTTATGTTCCGGCTTTTGCTTTCACCCTTTTCCACTTGTCAGACTTCATACACATCTACAGACCTCCCCCCCCCCCCCCCACACACACACACACACACTCACTGCAGGAGCCCCTTTGCATTGGGACAGGGCCAGAGTGGGTGCACAGCAGCCAGATTTCTGTGATTTGTTGAGTTACTCACTGGAAGAGGGAGCTGGGAGCTGTGGAACCAGCAGCACGCTCTGGCTTCACTCTCACTCGTTCATGCTTGGACTTTAACCTTTGTGTTGTCAACGTAAAAACTTGTTCTTGTTCCATCCTGTCAGGACAGACTCGCAGTGACTTGGAAGGGTTTGTTTTATTGTCCCTGAACTCGTTAAACCTTCCCAGCTTTACGATGAAGCAGCACGAGGTGTTTTCGTCCTCGCGGCTCCGCTTTCATTTGCACTGAAGCTTCGTTCAGCCATGAGTCTGGGACTGTGGAAAACAAATGAAGGTGCTAAATGCAGGCAGAGTGGTGGGAGAGCAGAGGCAGTGCGCCCTCTGCTGTTCCCTCTCAGAAACAGCAGCAGAGTCTCAGACCAGCACAGAGCTGACCCCCCAGCTGCAGCAGCTACATCAGCAGCTCACCCTGCACTTTCTGCTGCACGACTTAAGAGATCGGCAGCAAAACCACCGGCGAGCTGCTTTACAGAAACAAAATCTTGTTTTGTTTAGTTAAAACGCTGCAACATATGCTTTGGCCGGAAAACACCATTTGTTCTGCCTGGTGTGTCGGTCTAATTAAGTGAAGTGTTATTCTGATGCTTTTCACTCACTTCATGCTCATCGTGCTGCAGCGTTCACGCTGAACTGTTAGGCATGCAGCAACACCTTGAATATTGCCAAGAAATTTGCAGGCTGGGCAGAATATGTGTGTGTCGTTCTTGTTGTATTTGCTAATGTGTGTGTGTGCGTGCTTGCTGAAGCCACACTTACACCTCCTCCCAGTATGGAGAGACAGACAGACCTTCATGTGGTAAAGAGAGGATGCTGAGCTGCAGCTGGAAGAAACAGCTGCTGGGTCACTCACACACTTTGGACTGATTGTATATAAAAATAAAAATTAAATAAAGATAAGAGTACAGGGGGCCGTGGTGGCTCGGCGGTCAGTGCCACGGTCTGGCAATCGTAAGGCTACAGCTTCAAGCTCAGGTCGCGTCAGACGTCTGCTGATAAATCATTTTTAGATAAAAGTTTGCTGGCTGTGGTGAGACTGCAGGAAGGAGCAGCCAAGAAGAAAAAAGAGACAAAAGACAAGAAATTCAAGAATGATAAGACTGCATGTGACGTTTGTGACAAACATTCTCATCTTCTGTGTCAGCTGTACAGATGCTTTCTCCTCTAAAGCCCTCAATCTTTGAATTCAGCACCAACAAACAGTCAGGACCTCACGCGGCTCCTTCCCTCCAGCTGACGAGCTCCAAGAGCTTCATAAAGGCTAAACATTTGTTCAAGGAACGCAAACGAGCTTCACCACACACAGTCCAAGCAATGGATGGTGCATGTAAACTTATTCTGTAAACTTATTAAATAAACTTATTATATAAACTTATTCTATAAATGTATTGTATAAACATATTATATAAACTTATTTTAAAAACTAATTCTGTAAACTTATTCTATAAACTTATTCTGTAAACTTATTCTATAAACTTATTATATAAACTTATTATATAAACGTATTCTGTAAACTTATTATATAAACTTGTTCTGTAAACTTATTCTATAAACTTATTCTGTAAACTTATTCTGTAAACTTATTCTATAAACTTATTTTATAAA